CAAGTCGCCTGTATTGTCATCTAATATTAAATACAATCCTCCATTTAATAATCTTAACACACACAATCCCAAAATACGTCCATTCACGCCGAAACAATTTAGACAAAATCATTATTTCAAGTTACCGATGGCATTATAAACTAATCCCATAAGTCTCGCTATCTCTCGAGTCCAATTATGAACGTCAACGTCATCCAATTGTTTTCGACAACCTAGCATTCCTTAGGATATATTTTCTAGGCCCAAGAGTTCATTAGGGGACATCTAAATGTTGAAATCACATTAAATACCCAAATGGACAGAATCTGTTTTCTAGGTTTCCGTCACCGTCCACTCATTTTTCAAATTCTTTTTCATGTCCTTGCCTACATTTAACGGTTCCCAAACTTTTACCACACACCTATAACATATATGTGAAGATAATCAGATCATAACATTGTGACAAATGAAGTGTTTGGAGCTTCAAAAACATTCCATTTTCCACTACACAAAATCAGGCAGTTTTTTCCCTTTGACTGTTTTCGGTTTCCATATTATTATTATGATACTAACAGAATTCTAGGCCATCAAAATGATTTCTACACTCCCTACTTACATATAAAAACGTTCATATTGATATATATAAGTTAAACACTAAGTATCATCCCAAAAATCAAGGTATAAATCACTCAATCCAGCAATTCCTCATCTCTGTCCAGATTAATTTCTTTCAAATTCTTGCCATCAATTACCCCTATTTAGGCATCATAACATCATTAACAACACTCCAACTTAATCAAAAACAACTTCAGATGTTCAAGAAATCATAAACCCCTTAAGAAATAATAGAAACAAACCTCAAAACTGTGGAGTAACAAGGCTGTTCAGAAATTCTAGCTTCTTGTTTCTGTTTCTCTTTGACTGTTTCACCCTCTTTTCACTTGGAATCACTTAGGGACGAGTTCAGGGAGTTAATATATTATCTAGGAGGTAAATGAGTGGTCTTTAAATAGTTGAAGTCGTGCATATTACTTAAGGATTAATGGGCTGCAGCCACCTCAAGCAATCAAGGTGAGTCACTAAGCAGGAGCTGTCATCTTGGCTACAATACTTGACTTTTCTACCATTATTTTTGTGTTCAATTATGATATTTAAGATATATATTCATCCTATATTAAGTCCTTGGGGATTAGACATGAAATTTATGCCTTAGGGTTGAAGCAATTATATATTAAAGTGAAAATCCCCTAGCATGAGCTGTCCAAGTAGGAGGTGGCTTCTTGCGGCCAACTTTGACTCTCCCTTGCACCACATGGAGCCATATGTCACTTAGAAGAGTTATAAATATCTTGTGTAAAGTTATAAGGACTTATAGGACGTGTTGGAGGCTTAAGGTTGAAGGAATTGAGTGCTAAAATGACAAACATCCCAAGCGCGAGGTGTTCAAGCATGAGGTGGTCACTTGTAGCAAAATCTGACTTTATATCTATCTTTGCAGGCACAAACCAAGTATTCTCGGCTTATTTTGACATGTTTACAATCCATTTCGCTTGTCCTAAGATCCCAAAGTATTTCATAGAACTAATTCCTCAACCGTTCATTTAATTTCTTACCCGATTCTCAACCGATTTCAACAATTCGCACCTCAATATTTATAATGTTAAATAAAAGATGAGAAGAAATCAATAAATATTTCTTGAAAAAAAATGAAGAATCAAAATAGAAAATATTGTTGGAGTGTATAAAAAGTTTCTTTTCTAAATTTAAAAATACTCTCTATTATTTATAGGATGCTTTTTATCATGAGATTCTCTAATACAACCCCTATTTAGTTGAATCTAGTGGAAATTACAAAAATTCAGGCATTTAAAGATCCTAGTGTAAAAATAAGGTGGGATAGTTTTCTATTCTGATTTCAGGTTTTAATTTAACAATTAATATTAATAATTAATTAAATATTAATATTTACTAACCAACACCACTGCCCAAACCCTAATCTTCACATGAGCAAATCATTTCATGCAGCATCTTTTCTGTTCACTGTCTTCATTCTCTCTCATCACTCTCCGCAACTCACTGCTTTCTCTCTTCAATGGAGTAATATTTTTTTTCTCTCTCTCTCTCTCTCTCTCCAATATGCATTCTCTCTCTTGTCTCGTAAGTTATCCAGAATCCTCATTTAACTATCCCACCAGGAGATGAGGTGTGGCCATCGGAAGAAGTCATCGAGCGATGCGATGATGCATTGTAGTTGCAGTGCTATACGTGCAACGCTGCGATCTGTAGTTTGGTGCTATGCGTGCAATTCTGCGTTCTGTCGTTGCCCAACGGTGCACCTGTCGTAGCGGATAAAAATTTGGTGAGTGGTTTGGGGTTTTTTGGTCGCCGACAGAAGAGAAATTTTGGGGAGGGAGTTTGGTTTTTTTTTTGGTGATTTCGTTCTCCTCGATTGGATCTACTTAGCCAGATTGTCATTTTGGTGAGGTAGAAGTGGAGGTGTGCTACCAATTTAACTGTGTGCATTGGTGGTGCTATGGTGCAATGAGGTGTGTAGTGGAGGTGGAGGTGGTGCGGTGGTGGCTCAGGTGGTGTGTTGTGGTGTTGACCGATTTTTGTGACGTGATAGAATGCAATGGTGGTGATGGGCAGTGTTTGTAACCAAGTGTTGTGGTGGAATTGGATCGGGATCGGATGTGGAGTTGCGGTGGTGTGGTGCAATCGACGATTGGATGGTGGTGGTTTGTGACCAAGATTGGTGTTGGATGGGACCGGTGGTGGGGGTGACCATAAAGTTTGGTCTGTGACCTTAAAATTTGGCGATCTGTGATTAAAACAATAATCTATGACTTCAACGATTTAGTCCGTGATCTTAAAATTTAACGATCTGTGACTAAAACAATAATCTGTTACCTTAACGATTTGGTCCGTGATCTTAAAATTTGATAATCTATGACCTATAAAATTTTTGATTTGTGAGCTCGAAATAATCCGTGACCAATTAATTTGATGATATGTGACTGGTAAATAAATCTATGAAATCTGTGACCATTAATTATTTAACTGTGACTTTAATATATTTATTTAATAAATAATTTTAATTAATTAAATACAAACCTGAATTTTGAATTTTCAAACTTCTTAATTGACTTTTGAAATGGTGTAAAGAACACACCTTAAATATGAATTTTTCCTTTGAATCTATTAGTTAATGACATCTAAATTGGTGTGCAATTATATTATTCTTTTACAGTCGAAAAAGAAAATTAAATGCAAGCCTAAGTGCTATATTTTGCAAAGATTCGAATTCCCAAAAAATGCACTTAAAGTTTTTAATTTGTGCTTATTATGACACTCATAAACCAATTAGAATAATTATATTCACATCACAATTTTCATTTTTTACATCACATTTTAATTGCACTTAAAGTTTTTAATTTGTGCTTATTATGACACTTATATCCCTAATAATTTTTTATGTTACTTTTATCCTCAAATTTTCATTAGTTAACACATTTTGAATTTGATAACAATTTTCTGTCCAAAAGTTCGTTGAAACAGCTTGAAACAACTTAATTTTCCATCATATTTTAAATAAATAAATAAAAAGTGAGAAAAATATTTTTCACTCGTTTCAAAGCATGAAAACAAAATAATTTAACATAAATTATCATCAAAGACAAGACGTACCAATTAACGGAAGGTTGAATATAAGAATTTGACGGAAAAAAATTAAGAAAATAATTGCTACAATGAGTAAAAATCGAAGAGCTTAACTGCAACTAAAATGTGATGTAACAAATAAAAATTGTGGTGTCCCTTCAATTATTTATATTTCAAATCAACGTGCATCAGCACATTATCACATTAGCGTCAGTAAGTTAACACATATACAGGAATATATCAGCAGCATCAGGAGCCGGTATAAAATGTATAGGGCCGTAATTTGTTTTGTCTACTTTGTTACATCACAAAAGCGTTTCTCCTTGATATAGCTTTCTGCTTTCGAAAATGCTAATATCCCCTCTGTGATGATCCACATAAAACCAAACTGCATCATTCCAGCCAAGTTTTACATGACAATGCTCACTCCACCGTCTAAAGTATTTCATATATGGGTTGTCTGGTGAATTTTAAACTTAACCGCTGATTTTGAAATCTGAAACGGAAGCTGTCTGGCGACCTTCAACTACGGATGCAGATTCTTTCTTGTCCAACCCAAAGTACGAGCAATTCTGAAAGGCATCCAGACTGTTCGCTAGGAATCGGTTCAAACCACCAATGCTATCGCTAAGAATTATATCATCACTATGCAATCTACAAGAGGGTATATCCAAATCTAGTGGTCCTAACGAGTCAGGCTGCAACATGGAAAAGAAAGAATGAGAACATGCCCCAAAATCTTCACTTGAACACTTGACCTACATGTATCTTAAGCATAGTTATCGTGTATGGCACGCACGGCATCTACACAAGTGACAAAAAAAAAAAAGGATATGCTGAAAGTAATGAAAAGTGGACGGGCACGCACGGCAACCACACAAGTGAGAAAAAAAAGGGATATGCTGAAAGTAATGAAAAGTTAGCTTGCTCCTTTGGCGGCAAGAGGCTTCTCGTTGTAGCAATGATTTTGAAACGAGGAGAAATATCACCTGAAAAGAAAAGATAAAATGGTACTTCGAGGAAAAGATTACCCAATATGTGTCAGTTAGTCCACTAAAATCCTTTGCAGAATTCTCTAACGTGTCCATTGGCTCTCCATATGTAGGACCATCATTATTTGATTTCTTGTCTTCAGTCAACTCCTAAAAGAAATTAAAAACAATAGTGTTACCAATAACTCTCTTTGAAATGAATCTCAATAAACAGTTATCTTGATATCAGACCTCAACTGCATTTTGGGATACTGAAGAACTCGTCCTAATAATTTGTGTACAGGTCTGTAGAGAAGCATTCCTGATATCACTCTGGCCTATTTCACAGAAAGCACCACTCTTTTGAAATGCAAAGGCATCACATGTTTCTTCAGCATCCCAAATAGAAGGTGCGTGAGGTGCAAGACCCAGCTGTGAACCGACTTTGTTTTGATGTTTGTATATGTGAGCAGCGATTGCAGTGTCAAAAGAGTCACAACTGAATGGGATCTGCTGCAGAGAGCTAGAGCCAACAGGCAATGGTAAATCAGCACAGTTAGCATCCACGTTGAGCATCGAGTCAGAAAGTAGATCCCCCATACTTATACAGGTAAGACTATCAGCCCACTCCCCAGCTGAAAGTACCAAATCCTTCTGCTTGCTCCAATCATCCTAGATGCAAAGCAAAAAGATAATTTAGAATGACAGGCAGAAAAACAAGGGAATGGGCATTATTCCTCAGTTAGATGTATAATCTGATTGTAGCGCGCTTAGATAACATGAAACATAAGGAAAGAATTCATCATCGTCATTTTGTATTCTTCAGTCTAGTAAACAACAATCTCAGTGTTAGTTGTACCCAAGTATGTGAATCCATTTTATGTACTTCGTAGGGATTACAAAGATTGAAATCCATTACTCAAATAACAGAGAGCAGGTACTAATCATGCTTTAAATTTCAGATTGAGATTAGTTGAGACAAGGCTTTCAGCAATTGTTTAGACAACATGAATAAACAAATACGTGTTGATCTATGTGTGTGTACAGTGAGAGAGCAGTGCAAAAGTTGTCACTTTACACCCTATATTATGGTGGTTAATTTAAATCTAGGCCTTGAATCATCATCGAAAGGATCTTGAGATTTCCAACATCAAATGCCTGGATTCGTGTAAATAAGGTATTCTAGAATGCTGTTTTCACTAATATGGAAATGAAAGAAAAATATACAAGGAAACAAAATTTAATTTGTCTTTCAGTCTTCTCTGCCTGCAGGGGCTGGGGCCAATCAGGGTAACATTCTATATATTTATGATCATATAAACACACCTGATGAGAAATATAATATTCAACTACCAAAAATATTTGATACTATCTCAAACACTGTGAGCCAAATATAAAACTTCAGCAACTTAATCTGCGCCTACAAATTCAACGGTTCAATTACATGCATACATAAATCTATTGTTTACAGTAATAAAAAAACAAAAGTTTGAAAAAAATACCATGCTTTCAACTTGTCTTATATCAGCCAGAGCTCCGGTCTCCCTTCTGACTACTGAAACAGCTGGAATACTCTCAATGTGCCTTGAACTATTAATGTTGGGATCCAATCTATCACACTTGATTATCTCATCCTTCGAAACAAATGTTGAAGAGGGAGTCATAGAAGCCATCTTATCTGCAGAGGCTAACAGTTCTTGACAAGTACCCCCCATTGGGTTCCCTGATTTGTGATAAGTTGGACTTGATGCCGGCACAGACTCAATGTTGTGCTCTTTCATTGAATTGATGCTATTTTTCTCACTAACATCAGCATAGGACTGCAACGCTTGAGGTATTGCAGATTCAAGCTCAGCTTTTGCATACCAACCATATCTTTAACAAGAAATAGAACCTATTATATTAGGTTTACTCTGTAAACATAATTCTTCAGAAAGAAGAGAGTAAACAGGTAAAAGAACCTGAGGCGGAAAACTTGCGGGCTTCCAACTTTTGCATATACATCCGCTGCACAGACCGGAGAGTCCTTGGTCCACTTCTGACACCCCGCCAGGTTTTCACAGTGTGCCCAGTAAGGGAAAAGCATTAAATCTCCAGATAATAAGTTTGAATTTCCCCATTTGCGGTTGAGGTGATCCAATACAGATGATATCTTCTTTCGTGAACCCAAAGTGAGCTCCAGATGGGGATTATAATTGTCCTGCAGTGACACATAAACATCTGAATTTCCTTCATTATTCTAAAATAGAACTTTCTAAATAACTTCCAAATATTGCAACAGTAGCAAAAAAACCAACCCAGACTCCACATACCGCTTCCAAGGATTTCCGAGTGCAGTCATCAATTGGGAACAGCTGGAGCTTAAGTTTCATGGAGTTGTGTGCATTGTATTCGTTGCTAAGACTTTGTGATGACATTGGCAAAGAGAGCTCCACTTTTCCAGCAGGCTGGGAACCACCACCCGCTGAAAAGTAGACAAGTAGTGTATCATGAATAAATTACTTTTAAAAATTTCACCACCGTTGGTCCTGACTCAACAAAGTTTAGAAAACAAATCTTCATCATTCACCTTGTGTTTCGTGGACGCATTCAACTTCTTGTGCAACCTCTTTCTCAGTGATTGTCCGCTCCAGATGTTCAGCAGCATCAGCCACCAACGAAACCCCGGCAATCGCTGCCTTCTCCCATCTTTTATATGCAGCTGTTGAAGAGCCTGTCATACATTCAGCGACAGCCAGAGAAATACTATTCAAATTATAGAAAAACAAAAAAGAAAAAAAAAATTCTAGGTATTAAGCTACATTCAGCGACAGCCAGAGAAATACTATTCAAATTATAGAAAAACAAAAAAGAAAAAAAAAATTCTAGGTATTAAGCTCATGCAAGAAGCTTTCATTCATTTGGTGAGAACAAAAGCAGAAGCCCAGATGTAAGAATCAAGCTAGGTAACAGGACTTGCATGTTAAAAGGAGGAAACTGAAAGCTCGTCTTATAAGGTCATCATATGGGAACATAAGAATCCAGTTCGGAATACCATGCACGAATTTCATGCTCAACTAACACTAGAAATAATAAATGATTATCCGTGGTCTACTTTATATTTAATCACAAGGAACGGCACTCCGGCGTCTTGAGTATTCAATCAGAGACTCACTCCATTAGTATGTAGAACTAAAGAAAGAGTTCTGACCAATGATAGGCTGTCAATACCAACAACTATAAAGTCACCAAAACGTGGCAAATGTCTCAGAATACCCATGTTTGCAAATCAGGCTTGCAAATTTTCTAAAAAAAATAACACGTTAGGATGGCTCAAATAAGAGAATCGCCTAATCAAGAAATCTCAAAATTGCCACATTTGTAAATTGGCCTTACAGTTGAATATAAAAAAAACCTTTAGAATAGTTCTGAATAAGAAGATAGCATAGCATATTAAGAAATTCTCAAAATTAACAAAATATATGAATGAACAAGTTAACTTAAGTAAGTTCTATCAGAACTAAAACAACAATAATAAAATCAAAGAGCAAAAACAATACCAAAAAACAAATACAAACAGAAACAATAATAGTAATTGAAACGAGGTAATCGATACTTGACTTGAATATCACCTGTTTTCCTACGATGTTTTGCTGTTTTCAGAGAGGATGAATCTATTTTGCTGTTAGTACGATCAGTTCCTAAATTTACATTGCGCTTTACCAAAGATCCTTTGCCCGGTCCAACTTTTTGCATGTTTTGGCTGTCAACAAGAACCAATTTCACTGCACGACTGTCGTGACTCGATGGCCTGACCGGATTTGAGACAGTAATTGGAGCTGTAGAGCAGTTGTTTTCTCCAGGAGAGAGCCGTTTCCTTAAATTCTTTTTGCGGTCCTTCAGGAGTTGGTTCTCCTGCATAATTAAATAATAGTAAGATGCCAACGCAATCATCCTTCAGATAAAATTTATCATCAAAGTGAGAATGGGTTAAGTGTTAGACTAACCAGAGCCTCTACAAATATCTTAAATCTTCGAGGTTTTAAGTGAAGCTTTGAGGCCTTACAGCTGTACTTTTCCAATAATGACCACCTAGAACCAATATACAGCATTTAAGAGGTTAAAAATCCCAAATAAAAATAAAAATAAAAATAATATCAAGTGAGGAAAATATTCATAACCATTAGGCTAAAATAAGCTGCCTCCTCGTTCCACCCCTTCCCCACAAGCCCGCTTCACCAAAAGAAGAGGGGAAACAAAAGAATAAATAAAATTATAGGATAATAATGACAAAATCCCATTAAGTAAACATAGACACGTGCAAGGTGTAAGGCAATAAAGACTCTTCATCGTCGGTGAACAAGTATCATTCGTTTAACCGGCTAATCCGTGGCCACTAAACTTTGTGAAGTCATTAACTTCCTTCATTATATTACGTCAAAACAGAAATGTAAGATGGCAGTCATCATGTATGATATTTAATGTTCACAACCCATGAAGAAAAAATATTTCCTCAAGAGAGTAAATCTATTTCCACTCAATTACTAATATTGTTTAGGAATAGAGACAATATCAAAGACATCCCCAAGCTTCACGGCAATGTCATAGACACCACCCTTAAGTTTAGAAAATCACACAGACCTCCACTATTTCTAGTTTTGAGTACCTTGACAACTTTTTGAGCCATATTTAGATACCTAATATGCCCTCGTGAACTAATTTTAACTAATTTGCTCATATTAAGTATAGGAATATAAATTGACAAGTTATATAAAAACTCATTTGACATAGTTTATATTTTAAAATATAAATTTACTTAATTGATTTATAAGTGATATTACTTTTTGTCAATATATATGTTAAGGTATATTATATACATAAGAATAGAGTATTACTTTAACAAAAATAGTTATTTACAAGTACAATTTGTTATCAAACGACCAAAAGGGATATAATGATATTCTTCTAAAACATTGTAATTATTAATTTATTGGATTAACTTAGCATTCTATTATATAACTTTTGACTGTATATAATGTTTAGTGAACCAACATATACTCCTTTTTCAATTTTCATTTTTTTTTTTTTTCCTTTTGGCAAAATTGTACTTGAATTGTAAAAAGGAAATGCTTATATTTAACATCCTTTTTTAGACCCTATTTGTTTCTCATTTTTGGAAAAATGAGAATAAAAAATATAGCCGTTACAAACCCCACACGGAAAATAGAAATTCAAATTTGGTGGCTTGATATAATGAATAACGGTCATATTTTTCATTTTAATGAAGAAATAATGGGAACCAAACAGAGGCTTAGTTTATGTATTTGTAGCTCCAAAATTTATTGATAGTTTTGCATTTGCTAAAATTTAAATTATGTATACCTATTATTATTAATAATAAATAACTTTAAATCATTTATTACCAAATTCTTCAACAAATTTATGTCAATATTTTCACTAATATCCATATTCAAAGAATCGAGTGTGCACAAAGTCTTTAAGAATTAACTTACTACTAAAGGGAACAAGTAGAATTGTAGTTAAACACAAGGGCATTAAAGGTATCTCAGCCCCAGTTTAGATGAGATGAGGCTCAAAAGTGCTTAGGGGGTGAATATGAATCTCAAATCTAGAAATATGGGATGTTCAAGTGATTTTTTAAACGTACGGATGTCTCTCATATTGTCATAAAGCTCAAGGAATGTGTCTCCAATAATGTGTTTTCTAAAGAAGTAGGTTAACACCAGAACTAAATGAAATATGTATTAGTAAGTCGGTTGTAGGTAAAAAATATATATATATAAATAATGATTAAAAAATTAATAGAAAGTTAATATTTACCATCGTAGCATTGCAGCATTGGTATCTTTCGAGTTTTTAGCATCAAGACAAAGTTCAGGACCAAGCAACTTATTCATCCGCCTCACAAGCCGATAGTAATAGTGTCTGACCTACAACATTCAATACCAAAAAAAATTTAAATCAATAGGAGAAAATTATAGATTAACAATGGAATAGATGAGTATGAGGTCAGAATCTAGTGTAATGGGAACTCACCTGATCCTTGTTTTTACTTTGGACGTGGCAAGTGATTTTCTCAAAATTCTGGTCGAGTAAAGAAGCATTTATGTGGTCAGAAATAATATCTATAGAAAACTTCCAAACAAATGTCAGTGAATAAGGAACAGAAAGTTGCCTTGCCAACTAGACGCAGTGCACTGAAAAAGCTTTCTTCCTCCTGACGAGTCCAAGCAGCCCATTGCCGTGGCCGCTTTTTCACTGCATAGAAATAAATAGGATTTGCATGGGATGATTCACTAACAATTATTTCAAAAATTCTTGCACAACTAACCAGGCTAAAAGATACCTGGCTGCTGTAGAGCGATGTTATCTTGTGAGGAGGAGGGTTCACCAGAATTCCCATCCTTCCTTCCAAGATTCTCATGTTGGATGCATGCCTCACAGTCCGTAGGAACCTGTGACTCCATTTGCATTATATTATCATCTCACAGATAATAGAACTTCGTGCCTTTGCAGCTCCCAGTGTGTCACACAACACTTCTTCTGTTAATCAACGGACTTCAAGGTGAAAATTGGTTGGCTTCAAATAGAAAAAGGGAAATTTTTACAATTTAAGAACACGTTAAATGGAAATTTTCAATCCAATAACTGATAACAGAAATAACTAATCATATGAAACAGTATCCTAGAAGGTACAGATTAGCAAGACAAGACCGGAATCAATTGCCAATTGAAGTCACAAATATAATCTGAGAATTCGCATATTATATTTGATGTTTTCACAAACGTACAAGAGCATTTCAAATGCCCGGAGTTATATTACAGTCTAAAGAAACCAACCAAAATTGGAGTGGGAAAGGTTAAACCAGAATAATTAGTACAAACAGCGTTAGGGTTTCCAAGACCTATAATTGAAACAATCAGGCACCGTCATAACAAAAACTAAAGATACAAATTCACATATCAACACACACACACACACACTTAATTCAAGTCAATTAAACCTTTCTCCACCCACTAAGGTAAAAACAAAAACATAAATAGACAAAATATAATCAGAGGGCATCGAACCCCCTAGATCTATTTCAAATAAGATGTAAAATCTCAAAAACAAAACGAAAAACATGTATATTTATTAAATTAAATTGACACGATACAAAAATCACATAAATAATATGATAAATTGCTTACCGTACATATACTGGAGAATCACAAACCCAAACGAGAAGAAAAGACAGACGTGCAGGGAGATGAAACTGTAGTAAAAGCGTTTAATTTTATTAAAATAGAAAATAAATAGTGAAAATACGTATACACAGACCACCTGTTCGATCTATTGTCTGTGTAATAACCCACATCTGCACTCCGTGGGTTGCCACGCGTGTAGGGATGATTCAAAATGCAACCTAGGCAAAAGTGGCTTGGCTTAATTTGAAATTGTTATTTTTGTTAATGCCTTATATTATTTTCCACATATAATTTATCAATATTTTCTAAAGAGAGATTCGATTTGAAAGTCTTATACATACAAGGAATTTACGTGTGTAAACGAACATACTATATATATAATTTAATATTCAATGAAACTGATACTATCTAAATGATTAACAAGTTATTTACTACCTATTAGAGGTTTAAGTGTCAATTAATGATCGATTGGAAATGACTGTCGATTGTAATAACCATAACAACCGTCTATGGATTGATCTCAGGCCATCTACTTATCTCGAGAATGTCACCCATGTTCTTTCACTATCGTTGAGTGTTCATATTACTGATTGATATCTAATATTCGTTATATAACTATTTTGAGAATATGTTAATATTTCTAAAGATGTTCTAGATTGTATAACATAAAAAGACGCCCACTACTCTATAGTGTTAGTAGTGGCCAAAATATCAAGTATACTCAAAGATAACCATTTTGCATGAACCTCACCTTAAAAATCCAAAATAGATCATGTCACTTATCTTTTCTTGTGTAACAAAACGTCAGATTTTGTGATCCCTGAGCTTATGCGTATGTGATCCTTGTAATAGGTTTCTTCTTATCTGTCTTCATCTTTTTTCTTAAGGTTGCAAATTAGTTCATCTTTTTTCATAAACTTTCACCAACATCTGCACTTAAATAACTAGAGACGGAGATACCTTTTTCAACTTATTAAGCCCCGTTCGAGCCACATTCTTTCAAAAAAGTCCTTTTTTCACACACATTCTTCCAATAAAATAATTTTATAAGTAAATTTAAATTTTTTCCTACGTTTAATCATACATCCTTCACAAAATCACTACTAAAAAATCTATCATCCCAAAAGATTGGATTCAAAAAATACCTAAAGATGTGTATGCTAGTCACATCTAATTCTGAATATCATCAAACAAAAAATTTTAAAATGTTGTCAAAAGCGTCAAATGAATAACCCTGATTGGAGCCCATTATTATTTTTTTAAAAAAAAAAAAAGAGTTTTGAATTGCATTTTTAGAAGAGTGTGCGGTTAAAAAGTAAGAAAGAGTTTTGGATTTATATGCAAAATATTTTATTATGTGAATATATGGTTGAAAATAATCTCATAACAAAAAGAGTTTTAAACCAATAGGCACCAAACATGGGCTAAATGAAATTGTGTTCTTTTAGGTAATGAAAGGTATTTTGAAAAATCAATCAATTTTAATGTAAAGAAAAATTGTACATGTGCTAAATGCATGCTTGTCAAAGTTTGAATTATAATTTAAGTTGGTTGAATATACTTCTATCCATACATTTTATGGATCCACAATTTATTATCTCTGTTTTATCCATACATTATATGAGACCTGTTACTTAAAAAACTGCAACATCTTTATATTTTTCAAAAATAAATATCCAATGATATCAAATATTTCCAAAGTCAATCAGCCATTTTAGCTTTTGTATGTTTTCCTTTGAGATTGTAACACAAATATGGACAAGAAAAAAGTCAGCTCAAGCTCTAGGCAAGTTAAGAGGTAGTCTAAAGCTCCATATTTAGGTGAGATCTAAATAGTACTAACGAAATCTCCCAGTCAAATTTTTTGTCAATCCCATTACAGATTATAAAAAAAAAAAAAAAGGACTAAATTTTAATAATTTCCACCTTAACTTTGAATTGTCCAAGGTCTCCAAATTGGATTTCTTCCATGTTTCTTCCAAATCAAATAATGTACCTTCATTACAGTCTCATTTCTTTCACCCTTGGTCGCGTCACTTGAGAAACTTCAATGAAAGTTTTCTTTTACAAACACAATTGTCAAGACAGGGATTACCATGGTCCACCATAATGAGCTTACACACTTGACAACAAATTATTAAGAATTTCATTGGCTCATGTCGAACATTGTTACTGCAAAATTATTGTGCAACTTCCACATTTAACTTTTCCATACACTGCATCAATGCCAAACTAATGCACACATGCAAATTTGTGAACCTGCTAACAATAACACATCTTATAGCATGATAATTTATAGGCCAAAGGCACGTCATAATTATCAACATATTATCTCCGAAGAATGTCATGATTTCTCTTGCAAAAAGAGACGCACTTAGCGATAACTTCAATGTCTCCATTTATTGACCTTGAATAATTAATCGAATCTACCCTAACTTTGTGAATGATTTTTCTTAACCTGTCCAAACTATCCATGTCTGTTGATAATATGGATTAACAATTTTTTCAAATCCTTGTGTAATCCAAATTGAATGAAAATATCATTGTCTTGCATTTACCATTCTCACATCAAACTTTTCCAATACTGACATACTTTTTTCTGTATTCTAACACTCTAAGCGACAGGTCATTCTGATATTATTTGTTGAAAATTGAACCAATTACTCAATTAGTCCACGTGATCCTTGTTTTGAAAGATTTTTTATGAAAGCAAGAAAAATATAAGGATGGAAAAAATAATAATACAGATATTTACATAGAAACTTTCAAAATGAACAAAACTGGATATCAAAGATAGAGATGTTCCACTTTATGAAAATTTTGTGCAATCATGAAAAATCTCCCACGTATCATAAACTAGAAGATTGTGTTTTGAAAGATTTTTTATGAAAGCAAGAAAAATATAAGGATGGAAAAAATAATAATACAGATATTTACATAGAAACTTTCAAAATGAACAAAACTGGATATCAAAGATAGAGATGTTCCACTTTATGAAAATTTTGTGCAATCATGAAAAATCTCCCACGTATCATAAACTAGAAGATTGTTGGAAAAAATTGAGTGAGCAACTCACTTTTGACACAATTTTCGATGGGACCCGTTGGTCCAATGTAGAATATCAAAGTTGATATGTGTTCTCCTCAACGAGAACATCGATTTCATGTATTTATTTGCCAAAAATGAAGTTCAGGTGAATGAGAAATTGAAGCTCAATATTGGTCATTGGAAGTTGGTTTTGTGGGAAAAAATGCATTTATCCCACATAGAAAAATCAAGGAAACTTAAACCACTTTATATATGGCTATACTTTGGAGATGTGTAATCATGTGTAACATAGAGGCTCTCTCCACGTGCGTGCTCAGGGGGGTGCAAATCACGAACCGAAATGGCTTTCGGACCTTGAACTTGGGTGCGGGCGCGACCTGCGCACACGAATGTCGGACCGAACAAGGCAAAAATGGCCCCATCGGTGAGCCCACATTTTGCCAATTTTTTTTTTGCTTTCTCCAATGACTTTTGAGTTTCTAAATTGAAAAAACTCCAATGGACTCCCAATGGTCACAGTGTTAATGGGAAGTAACTCCAATAGACTTCCAATAGTCACAATATTAATAGGCAGTATGCCTATAAAAAGGCTCATTCTCCAGCAATCTAACACACTCGAAAATCTCACCTACATTCCTGCATACGTAGTTTCTTCTTTTCTGCATTCCTTGTCCAGTAAGGTATTGTTCTTGTGGTGATATAGTTCGGATACTAGATCAGTTCGATGGAGTAGGACCGCGATACTCAGATTCTGCTTATTACCATTGTATCCTGGGAGACAGCCACTCGAACTGACCCTCCATCACCTACGGTGAGAGGGCGAAACTGTCTTAAGGAAACTGTGCACGCACAGGCCTCGATTTAAAACCTGCTGCAGTTTGTGTTTTCTTTCTACGGATTATTTTCGCATTACTATTTAATTCATGCAGTTTGTAATTCCATAGTGTGCAGCTTCCAGATTCATCATTTACAGTTTTAGCTTGCAGTTAACTTATATTTCTGATTTTGTGTTGCTAAAAATTTTTTTTCAGCCATTGGAAAATTCTGAAACCGAATTTTTTTTGATAAATTGAAATTGTTTGCCTTGTGGTTATTAATTTCAATAGTCGGCTATTGTAATTGAATAAAACTTATACAATTGGTTTCATCCACTAGCGACTTGTTTTCTTAAAAGCTTAAGACAGTCTCTGAATTCGGAAAACAAGAATTGGTTTTTGGTTTAACTGAATTTTAGTTTCTTGGAATTAATATTTGGTTTGTTTTCAAAAATGGCAACCGAATCGAACAACATGGATGTGACCCAAAATGTTCCCGCTGGAAATCAAGCTGTGGGTTCTAATGTGGCTCAAGGGCCAAGCTCCGTTGTGGCTCAAACTGTGGCTAGAATGCCAAGTCATGTTGTGAGCCAAACTGTAACTGTTCCAATTAATCATGAAGAAAAATCGGAGAAATTCAATGACTTGAATTTCAAAAGGTGGTAGCAGAAAATGTTTTTTTACTTGACCACCTTGAATCTTGCGAGATTGTTGACTGAGACTGCTCCAAAGCTTAATAAGGGCGAGGGAGATATGCAAGCATTGAGTGCACTTGATGCTTGGAAGCATTCGGACTTTCTGTGCCGAAATTATATCATGAACAGCCTAGCAAATGCATTGTACAATGTGTATAGCACCATGAAAACTACTAAGGAATTGTGGGAGTCCTTGGACCGGAAAAACAAAACTGAGGATGCCGGGTTAAAAAGTTTATAGTCGGCAAATTCCTAGACTATAAAATGGTGGACTCCAAAACTGTTATCAGTCAAGTGCAAGAACTCCAAGTGATCCTTCACGAAATTCATGTCGAAGGAATGATGTTAAGTGAAACCTTTCAAGTGACTGCAATTATAGAAAAATTGCCCCCCGCGTGGAAAGATTTCAAGAACTATTTGAAACACAAACGAAAAGAAATGAATGTCGAAGAACTCGTTATTAGACTTCGAATCGAAGAAGACAGCAAGAGTTCCAAGAAGAAGTGGTTCAATCCTGGTGTGGCCAAAGCCAATGTTGTGGAGCTTGGTCAAAGTATTAAGAACTACAAAAACAAATCTGGGCCATCCGGTGGCAAAAGAACCAAGCAAGGACCGAAAGGTAGAATTGTCAAGAAAAAATTTCAAGGGAAATGCTTTAATTGTGACAAAGTGG